TAACTACATTGCTCAAAGTATCGAAAAGCACATTAGAAGTTTGAGCATTGAGATAAGAGTTTTTCTCATCCTCTAAAGATAATCTTTGGGCATCCTTTGGAGGAGAAAAACCCATATCTACAATTCACTCTAAATTTGGGTCCATGACCCTAAAGAGATTAAGCATGCGAATTACCCAAACATCAAAATTTGTGCCATCGAAACTAAGAGTGTCAGAGAATCCTAATACCCTAGTCGACATCTTTACTCTCTAGGCGGTTAAGCCTAACAAAGAGAGACGAGGCTCTTATACCAATTGAAAGATCATGGATGTCGCCTAGAGGGGGGGGGTGAATAGGCGTTTTAAAATAATTACAGTTTAGGCTTGAACAAATGCGGAATAACCTAGCGGTTAATTTGCCAAGCACAAAACCTAAAACAACTAGGCTCACCTATGTGCACCAACAACTTATGCTAAGAAAGATAAGCAACTATGTGATAGCAAGATATATGACAAGAAACAATATGGCTATCACAAAGTAAAGTGCATACGTAAAGGGCTCGGGTAAGAGATAACCAAGGCACGAGGAGACGATGATGTATCCCGAAGTTCACACCCTTGCGGATGCTAATCTCCGTTTGGAGCGGTGTGGAGGCACAATGCTCCCCAAGAAGCCACTAGGGCCACCGTAATCTCCTCACGCTCTCGCACAATGCAAGATGCCGTGATTCCACTAAGGGACCCTTGAGGGCGGTCACCGAACCCGTACAAATGGCAACCCTTGGGGGCGGTCACCGAACCCGTACACTTTGGCAACCCTTGGGGGCGGTCACCGGTACCCGTCAAATTGCTCGGGGCGATCTCCACAACCTAATTGGAGACCCCGGCGCTTTCTCAGAGCTTTGCACCACAATGATTGAGCTCCGAACACCAACAACCGTCTAGGGCGCCCAAGCACCCAAGAGGAACAAGCTCAAGGGTACCAAGCACCTAAAAGTAATAAGCTTCTTAACTTGTAACTTCCATGTATCACGTGGAGAACTCAAACCGATGCACCAAATGCAATGGCAAGGGCACACGGAGTGCCCAAGTCCTTCTCTCTCAAATCCCACTGAAGCAACTAATGCTAGGGAGGAAAATGAGAGGAAGAACAAGAAAGAGAACACCAAGAACTCCAAGATCTAGATCCTAGGGGTTCCCCTCACATAGAGGAGAAAGTGATTGGTGGAAATATGGATCTAGATCTTCTCTCTTTTTTCCCTCAAAAACTAGCAAGAATCCATGGAGGGATTGAGAGTTAGCAAGCTCGAAGAAGGTCAACAATGGGGGAAGAACACGAGCTCAAAGGATAAAGTTCATTGGGGAAGAAGACCCCCTTTTATAGGAGGGGGGAAATCCAACCGTTATGTGCTCAGCCCGCACACGAGCGGTACTACCGCTCCACGAGCGGTACCACCGCTCAAGCGGTACTACCGCACCCTTCGGCGGTACTGCCGCACAGAACGAAGGGTAAAGGGAAAGAGGGAATCGGTCGGTACTACCGCGGAGGAAGGGCGGTACTGCCGCTAAGGAGCGGTACTGGCGCACTACTACCGCAGCGAGGTACCGCACAATCCGACACAGAAAAAGACCCCTCGAATCGACGCGGTAGGGACCTGGTAAGCCAACGGTAGTACTGCTGCGGAGTCACCGCCGGTACTACCTCCGCGGAGCGGTACTGCCGCTTGTGACTCCTCAGCGGTACTACCGCTGGGTACCACGGTACTACCGCTGGGACCCTGACAAAAACCACACTCAAGAAAACAAGAACTGCCATAACTTCTGCATATGAGCTCCGAATTGAGCAAACTCAAGCTTGTTATAGTAAGAAGAGGCAGGGGAGGTATGCCAACAAATAGAGGAGTGAAACCTCCAACCGAGAAGAACCGGCAAAACCTCCAACATCGAAAACATCATAGAAGAAGCATGTGAACTCCGTTTTCGATGAACTCGAGCTTGTCATCAAGATGACCATAAGATCTAAGACTCTCAAAGAGAACCAAACAAGAACCAAGAAAGATGATGCAAGGATGCAATGGTTTGAGCTCTCAGCGAACGATACGATCAAGCTACTCATCGAGAGCCCCCCTTGATAGTACGGCAATCGATCCTATAACCCGGTCTCCCAACTACCATCATGAGACCGGTAAAATAGAAAACCTATCAAGGGCAAACTTTGCCTTGCACATGGTCCACTTGAGCTAGATGATGACGATCTTGACTCCCTCAGGTTGGACCACCTTTCTTGATTGGGTTGACTCGATGAAGACTAGTTGATTGCTCCCCCATATTCCACTATGGGTGAGCCACTCTTCCGCACATCTTCACAAGTCCATTGTCACCACAAAGGACGGCAAGCTTCAAGCATTTGATCTCTTCGTGATGCTCCACTTGAACTTGCACACCGCAACCTTTCTTGATTGTGTTGACTTGATGAAGACTAGTTGATTGCTCCCCCATACTCCACTATGGGTGAGCCACTCTTCCGCACATCTTCACAAGTCCATTGTCACAACAAGGACGGCAAGCTTCAAGCATTTGATCTCTTCGTGATGCTCCACTTGAACTTGCACACCGCAACCTAACCCCATAAAGAACCCTCACGAAGACCATGGGTTAGTACACAAAGCGTAATTGACAATGCTTACCATACTATGGGATCACTTGATCCCTCTCGGTACATCTTATACGCTTTGTGGGTTGATCAACTTGATTCACTCTTTAACTTAGTCTTGGTCAACCTCTCACAAGACCAATCTTTAGGTAATTCCTTGAATAGCACCTTGGTCGACACAAACTTTCCTTGAAACCAACACATGTACTCCAAGAAAAGCCTATGAACAAAACCTTCAAATATAACTCAAGGCAACCATTAGTCCATAGAGATTGTCATCAATTACCAAAACCAAACATGGGGGCACCGCATGTTCTTTCACTTTTATTATAGTAGAGGCGAAAATGTATAAATAGCAAAGGAGTTATTTTCATAATTACTTTATAGCATCTTGATGTAGATGCAAAAAAATAAAGAAAAAATACATCTCAGTCTTCCGGAGATGTAAACTAAAATACCTCACGGTGCAAATATACATCTCCACTCACTGGAGATGTATAAACGCCAGCCACGCGCCAACCGCCAACTGCCGTTACATTTCCTTCCCTAACCATGTTTCTTCCTCACACCACCCTGCCGCACCGCCACCGCCTGCCCGCAAGCCCGCCGCACCCCGCCGTCGTCGCCCCGTGCCAGATTCGCCCCCTCCGGCACCCCCGCCGCCGGTTTCGACCGCCGCCGCCACCGCACGCCGCAAATCGGGCGTTTTTCCACCGTCGCTCGATTCCACCGCCGCCGCCGCCGCCGCCCTGTCCACATCACCGGCCACATCCCCGCACCGCTGCCGCTCGATTGCTCCACGGTCGCTACCCGCAGCCCCTCCCGCATCCTGCCCCGCCGCCCGCAGCCTCGCCATGCTCCGGCCGCCACGTCCAGCTCGCTCCTGTCGAGTTTCACCCACCGCAACTCCTCTCGTTTGCCCCAAAGGACGCGTCTCGCTCCCAGTTATTTGTAGAGCCAAATGCCGCTGCAAACCGTCGCCTGTAGAGCAAACCCGAGGCACTCCGCCATGCTTGATGGTCGCCAGCGGCACAACTACTTTACATCTTCATTTGGATCATCGGTTGGACTTGCACTCTTACATCACGATTTTATATCTTTATTTGAGATTAAAAAACACCTTTTGAAGATGTATTTTTTTACATCTCCTGTTTTACATCTTCTACTGAAGATGCTCTTAGTGATTTAAACGCTCTTATATTTCTTTACGAAGAGAGTATATCTTATGTTTAGGATGCTGGATGGCTTAGGAACTCGCCCCATGTTAGCTCGCGCCCATCTCTCGATATGATCTCTCCTTGGTTTCCTTTTTTTTTCATGCATCCTGGCGCTTTGGCCCTTGTTATGAAATGAAAGGAGAATTCGGGTGGGTCGGGGAGGGGAGCCACCAATCATCCATCAATGTAGAAGTACACTTATTCGCTGGCTAAGGGAGTGTATTCGCACCATCGTTCGTCCGTGTCATAATAATCATCATCATCGTGCGTTTGCCTGGATTCTTTGATACAAGTAGTTGCTTCAAATTCTCGCCCCCCTTCCCAATTATTTTCATTAGCCACGCAAAAAAAGACAATTATTGTCAAACGTGCCGTGGTGGATACACTCCATTGGTGATGGTCCTCCTAGCTGGCTATGGCGAAGGAGGATGAGGTCACACAGCATCGGAGGCTTCTTCAAATTAACAGCTGTTAACAGTGATGTACTGACTCCGTCTTAAAACTAAGATTGATCTGTTTGTGTTGTCAAACGAAGACACTGATTTGTGTGTTTACGTATCCACGACTCTCTAGTGTTGACGTGGCACATCGATCGGTCCTTGTCAAGCTGGCCGACTGGTCAATTTAGGGAATAAATTTTCAGAATTAAATCACAGGCAGGCATCCACAACATCACGAGTTTACCATATAATATCTCTGCGCTCGTTTGTAAAACGCGTTTGAAAGACATTGTTCCTAACAAAATTTGGCCACACGGACGGGTACAAACACACAACCCGAAGAGACTAGCTACCCACTTCGTGGTCCAAGAGACAATCCTTCCTCCCCGGACAAAAATGCCAACGTCCTCAGCTCAACTTTCAGCCCTGAGCATCAAACAAATTGCTTAACCAGCATACAGCCACTGCCCATGTAAATAACGCAAGAGTGCACATTCGGCAGGCCGCATGCTGGTTGGCCGAAAAAATGGCTCGGCTGCTCATGTGCTCAGTGATCATGTTGGTGCTACAACAACCACTGCAGGAACACGAGGATGATCTGTGTCAGTTTTGATTTTGCCAGACTTGAGAAACCTCTCATAAAATAAGTTTGTGACAATTGCAAACATAAAGATGAGTGAAGTACTCACGGAATATGTGCCGACCATGGCCTAACTCTTTGTCCCAGCAGAGCTCAGATATTTGAGCATGTACTCGTTGGAGGAACAAGTGTCCGCCAGATCCTGGTGCAACTTTGTTATAGACTTCTGCAATGACTTGAGAGCAGGAAGCAAGGTCCTGGAGTTCTGCTGGATGTAGCTTCCATCAACCTTGCAAAGCTCCTGTAACGAAAATATATATCAGGATAAGATATCCAGTGTTTCACCAAAATCAGCAGCTTCGGTAGAAAAAAAAAAGGAAGAGGAGAATGGTACCTGAGCCCAGAGCAGGATGAACTCCAGATGGGGACAGCTTTCCAGGAGGTCAGCGAATGCATCAATCAATCTCTGAAGATACTTGAAGGGTACTGATGAGCAGATTGCTCGTACATTGGATGGATCCACAGCAAAGATGCATTTCTTAATCAAGGAGTCTTCGTTTAACCGGAGGCTCAGTACAAGGGCTCTCTGTTGTTGGTTTTCTGCAAGAGCTTCCTCCACTTTCTGTACAAACACGAAGCACAGGAATTTGTTATGGATTGATCAGCACCATCTTGGGACAATCAATTCTCAAAAAAGACATGAAGTAAATACCTCAGGAGTAACATCAATGTCAAGATCTGTTGGATCAAAAATAAATGATTCATCAACCGAGTACAACAGAACACCATCAGTGGTCGCTGCAGCAAAAGATCTTCCTGTTGGAGCAAATTTCACACATTTTGTCCGAGCTATGGGCCTTCCACGATTTGCCATGGATCCAGGTAAACCATGCCCCAGGCTACCTCTTGTTTGTTGATCAATTCCATCCTCAACATCACTATCTTCGTCGTCGATTAGATCTAGTGGACCAGCATCAGTCATATTTTTTGAGTTCAGAAAATCAAGAACTCCATCCAATGAAAGATTGCGAGTGATCTGGAATCTACGCAACAGCACCTGCACAGATGACATTGGCAAATACAGAAGACAATGAATAACTTCAATCATTAATGTGAACAACAAAAGGCATTCTTACAAAGTTACAATCATGTCAATCACTGAAGATAATGTCAATGGACACCTAACCACATGCATCTTAGCTGTTACCACAACACGAGGGGCAACATTCAGATGTGGCATTGGCAAATATAGAAGACAATGAGTAACTTCAGTCATTAATGTGGACAAAAGGCTTCTTACAAAGTTACAATCATGTCAATCACTGAAGATAATGTCAATGGACACCTAACCACATGCATCTTAGCTATTAGTATCTTTTTAGGTTCGTGAGGTTACCAGGAAAATATTTTTGGTGACCAAGTCAAGCAAACATTGGGTTACCAACTAATAATAGACAAAGTTTTTACCAAACTACAGTAATTGACACGAGTACATGACAATATGGCTTGATAACAAGATTGTAAAGAATGAGCATATATAAGATGGGAGGCGCCTCTAAGATAGTAAAAATAAAAGAAATGAGGAATCGAGGATAATTGGTTTGATGCCAACACTTGGCATTGCCAATACTTGGCAAGGCAACAATTGGCAATATCAAAAGTTGCCAAAAATTGGCAACTTCTTGTGAGGTTGGCAAGTAAAATGGTAGCCAACCAAGCACTAGCCAATATTTGGCATTTGCCAAATGTTGGCATGCCAATTTTTGGCATCAAAGCAATCATGCTCGAAATGTGTGTATGCTACAAAGTTGTTTTATCACAAGAAAGATTTCCTGACCTGTTCTCCAATATCGTACATGCAGATATATTTGCTGTTTCCTCCTGCTAAAATATAGCTTCCATCGGCAGAATAGCACAGCGTCGTGAAGTACTTTCCTATACTTGTATTAGCTGCAGATCTTCTATCTGTCATGAGGCGCCCACCAGAAATATCCCTGCGACCTTCAATTGTATACATCAATAAGCCATCAAAAGGATCCCAGAAATTGATTAGGCCATCTAGTGTGCTGCATGCAATCTGCCTTCCGTCAGGACGATAAGCCAAGGTAAGAACATCATGTGAGTGTTGAAACGTTTCCACAGCACCCTTGCTCTCAAATACATCCCAAAGACGAACGGTCTTGTCCCACGATGATGAAGCCAAAATAGCCTACCAAACATAAGCTAGTTACTCTTTCTGTGAATTTAAAAAATACATAGAACCAATAATAGAGCAGTTTCAGCACAATTTCCTTGTGCGAACTAACAAAGTCCATTTGTTCCAAAAACAAAGTGTAAGTTCTAACAACAAGGAATGAGAACCAAAAAACATCAAAGCATGGACTTACACTGATTGGTGAAAACATTAGACCATGAACTGGTCCTTGGTGGCCACTGAGTACATCCAACAAACGACCAGTCTTCATTGACCAAACATAAATCTGCATGTAACACGTTGTGGTTATCGAGGGACTAGAAGTAGAGCATAGGCCACAAAAGGATTGCCAGAAAAATGTTGACTGCATACACCCACCTCAAATGAATCAAGTGTTCCAGCACAAATTACTTCCCCACTCTGATCTGCCGTTAAAGAAACGAATTGTCTAGGTGAAGGGGTCGTAAATGTCTTGAAGTTACGATAACGGAACAGATCCCACGCTCGAATAGTCCCATCAAGGGAGGCACTGAGAAGAGAATGGTTATTGGCCATAAAATGAACTGCAGTAACAGCATTTGTATGCTCGGAAAATGTTATGAAACAGAACCCAGTGGCAGCCGTCCAGACCTACAGAGAGCCAGTCACGTGTGTCAAACTTGCAGTGCAGGAGAATGATACTTAACAATTAAAACAATATGGTTTCAAACCTAGAAAAACTTGTGATAGTTATCATTTCTGATTTTCAATACATAGATGAATAGGTGCCATTTTTCAATTCAAATGAATAAGATTGACGTAAGTAGTTCTTCAAAGAGGTTAAGAAAATCAATTACTTCCTCTCAATAGCACTTCATCAAGTATCTCGACCTACTTTATGAGCCCATAACTCGTATTATAATTAAAAAGGCTTTCAACCAAATATCAAACAAGGAAGTTTTCCCAGAGACCCCAAGCAGAAAGGGGACATAATAGCGACTGAAGTTTTATCTAAACCCTCCATCAAAGTATCTCAACCTACTGTATAAGCACTACTTCTAAGTTGTAACATAGTTAAAAGGCTTTTGAATACCACAGCAAGCAAGAAGCCTCCCCATTCCCCACCCCCCAGGCCCAAACAGAAAGAGGACATAACAAAGAATGCAAATGACATTACTACTTCAAACACACCTTGACTTTGTTATCATCAGCTCCAGTAGCAATTAACTGAGAATCTGGTGAGTATGCAATGCAGTTCACATCAAAGTAGTGACCCTGCTGCTTCAAAATGTAGGTCTCTGACCGCCACTCCCACACCAGCAGTTGCCCAAGCTTGGCGCACCCAAAAACTAGCCAATTCCCCAAGCTGTTGAAAATAGCAGTAGTGATCTTCTCCCTTGATATTGACAGCTGGCAGTGGCACACAAAGTCCGGCATCTGGTACAGCCCAAATACCCCATTAGAGAACCCAACCACCACCATGTCAAGATCCCGGTGGTAATCACAGGCTGTTAACTTAGCCGGCGCCTGCATGAAGAAGTTCTTCTTCTGCAACTCCCACTTTGCCAAATGAAGTGGAGTGGTGCTGGGCTCTTCCAGTTCTCCCGAGCTCTTCCTCTTCCTGCTCCCAGCATCAATTTCCGGCTCACCATTCTGCTCTGATTCCTGCTCCGGTGTCCCGGGTGAAGGTGGAGATGCAGCATCATTGCCCTCCACCAAATTCCAAGTAAAGATAGCTCCGTCCTTTGAAACCGTGTAGACCCCGTGGACTCTGCCCGTCTTCTTATCGGTGGCGAAGAAGGCGCCAATGACAGCCGCGCGGTGGCCGAGGAAGAGAAAGGGCTTGTTCCCGGTGCCCCGCTTGACGGGCAAGATGCGGGCGGTGAGGTCCTTGCAGGCGACGAGGAGGGAGGCGGAGTCAGGGGACCAGTCGAAGGAGGTGACCCCGGCGGCGAAGCCGGGGAAGGTGCGGAGGAGGTGGAAGGGGAAGAACTCCTTGCGGAAGGAGGGCGAGCGCCAGATCTGGACGAGCTTCCCGACGGCGACGGCGATGAGCTGGCCGTCGGGGCTGAAGCGGATTCCGGAGGGGGCGGCCTTGAAGGAGACGCGGTGTAGGACGGCGCGGCGGCGGAGGTTGGCGTAGAGCGCGCGGCCCTTCTCGTCGCAGGCGAGGAGGAAGTCGCCCGAGGGGGAGGTGGCGAGGCGGGCGATGTTGGCGGAGGACTCGAAGGGGAGGGTGAGGGAGGAGGAGGCGGCGAGGTCGGTGGTCGCGACGCGGTTCCCCACCGCCGAGAGGAGCACGGAGGAGTCCCCCGCGAAGACGGCGTCGCCGCCGCGGTACGGCGCGCCCAGGAGGTTCTGGAAGCGGTAGTTCATGGCGGGGGCGGCCGGGGGCGGGCGGCCGGGCTGGCTTGGGGGCTAGGGTTTTGGGGTGGGGAGGAAGGGGACGAGGAGGGTGTAGTTGACGACGACAGGGTTTTGCCCTGGATTCGAAGTTTTGGTGGGCCGAATGGTTCGGCCGGACACTTGGAGATGGACAGTCTCTGGCCCAACTGTGGAGCGGGCCAAGATGAAACTGAACATGATTTCTCGAAAAAAAAAGGATGAGTCTGAACATGACCTGTCAGACCGAGTTTTTTTTCTTTTCAAATTGAACAGTTATATTCAAAATGTCTTCTTTTTTACAGCATGCACAGTAAGTACCTTTTTTCATTTCTTTGGATGATTTGAAGATTGCTCACCGCACATGCATATTATCTTTCGCATGGGCATCAAGGAGTGTTTGCTCTAAAAGATTGCTTAGGTGGAGAAGTTTGTAGCTAGATAGGGAAGTTTCGAGTATACGACTGATGCTCCCAGCCCTATAGCAAAAAATAATATAATAATTGTAAAAGAACGTATCTTTTGTGAAATCAAGTATTGTACTTGTATAAAAAAAACTAGGCAAAGAATACGTCCATGATATTTCGGGCGAAGAAAACAAAGGTAATCTTGCTCTAATAATAAAAGGGCAACTGTTTCGTAGGGAACAGAATAGAGTGGCAGATCAATTGGAAGAAGCTGCAGCACCGAGAGAGCCGCATCTTTAACAGCAACAATAACAATCTTTTGCGTGCAAGAAGAATGAAGAACAATCTCTTGGATTACACTCACATATTTATTGCTATGGCCAAGAATATAATGTTTAAACACTGAATTTACTCCAAGAACTTAAACAACAGCCTAGAATATTGAAGTACAACAAGTAGCAGAGATATCATCCTCCCACACTTGTTCCTTTGTTCTTAAGAAGACTAGTGAGCGTGCACGTGCAACGCACGTATCATTAAAGAGTCATGGACTCATGGGAAAAATGGCGGCGACAGTTTGCCCTTCCCTTTATCATCGAGATAGTGGGTCCCC